AATTATGCTTGGACTGTGGAAGAGATGCACGAAAACCTTTTGTAACCAACTGATACACTTTCTACAGTATGTAAAGAAGGAAGGTTTTATGTGTTGTGTTTGTTTTGAAAATAAAAAAAAGTTTTTTAAAAAAGTAGTCAGCCAGATTAATAAACGAGGGGCTGAATTTTCTAATAACCTTAATTTCTCTCACCTTTAGCTCCAGGGGGTTGCAAAGGGAGCAAGGTCCATTTCTGTTCTGGGCTGTCTGTCCACGCTGTCTTTCTGGTTGTGTGCCATGGAATAGGGTGGTAACCAGAGGCAGCCACCTGCCTTTAATTAGCCCAGTCAGAAATTTGAAGAATTCCAGTGCACCCATAAGTAAAAACAGATTATTATTTTTTGCATCCATTCTAACCACTGTTGCAAAATACTGCAATGCATCCTGTTTGGAGCACAACTGCAGTTGTTGTTTTTGGGTTCCATCCCATGGATGGAGTTGGAAAGCTGAACCTTGCTTTGTGTTTCAGTGTGGTCATTTGCCTGGAATCTGCCCATAAGGATGACCAACGTGTGGACTGTGTGAGGTTTCGAAGTCCTTTTTGATTGCCGTCTGCAGGACGTTAGGGAGAAAAAAAAGCCACGGTGATCAAGTTCCAAATTGGCAGGTTACACACTACTGCCTCCCCAAACAGATGGGCCTGCCCTCACACGTACAGATGTGTTCACTTTTGCATAACCCCTGTACAATTTTGCACCCAGGATGCAACAGCTGGCACTTTGCTTTTGTCCACTGGGCAGGAACAAACCTGATGGGAGCGAAGGGCAGGGAGTCAGATTAATGTCCCCACCTTTGATTGCAAAGGCTTTTAAGCAGATTTCAAGTTTTGGACAAAAGCATTTAAAAAAAGGAAAACTGCAGTTGTCCTAATTGGATCCTTAAATTCCCAACCCTGCCATGCATGAGGTAACTTGCCAACCTTCCAAGTACACACACACACACACGCACAAACACAGGCCTGAAGGCCCAGGAGTGACTTTCACTGGGTTTAGAAGATAAGCCAGAGGGTCGATTCAGTACTTAAAAAGTAGCAGGAAGTCCGAGGCCATTAAGTAGACGGCGAAGTCAGGAAGCTTTCAAAAATGATGGTGAAGCTTGCCAAGATGATGTTATCCCCATGACTCAAGTGTGAATTGAAGGACTTTTGGGTTTCCTCTTTAAATCATTCGCTCTGGCATGCAGCATCACCGGTTGGGGCTTAGCTAGGCGATGAAAGGTTCTCGGCCCTCATCCATGCGGTTTCATACAGCTTAGAAGTTGGGTCAATTTCTCCATAGAAGTAATACCAAAGCAGCAGTGAAACGTTGCCAACTCAGTGGTTCTTCTCGTTAAGACATCTACGTGCAATTCAACCTTGTCAACTTACCTTGGCGAGTTTCTCGCATTTTGTTACCTAACTAGGTAACATCATCAGTACTGGTAGGGAGGACTATTGGCGGAGGTGCTAAGTTTGGTGGTTTTCTTGCATACGTTGAATTACCAAACTAGGTTATCCTCATCAGGGCTACCTGGCCTTGTTGAGCAAAAGACATTTAGCCTCAGGAGCATCTTTACCTATCGAACTTCCTTTTTATTTCATTTTTGATGGTTGTGAGCCACCTAGAGTAGCCAATGGTGGGATAGGCCACAAATAAACTTGATAATCATCTTACTACTAAGAGCTAGCAACATTCTTCTTCTGGAGATGATGGGGACCGAGTTTAAGATTTGGCTGTAACATCTTGAAAAGCTGAGGTAGCCAGCTGGTAACACCTTTTCAACGTCACAATCTTCTTTAGATCCATTTTGTTTCTCTGGGATTAAACAGTAAAGGCACTTGGCAAACTCAGTTGCCAATACAGTACAAAGTTGTACCATACTGTACATTACTGTAGAAAACACAGCTTGCAGTGAATATTAGCACAAAATTATATTGATTGCAACCACACACATGCTTTATCAGATGTTTTACTATTTAGCTTTCACCGATTTGTGAGTTAGTCTCTTCAGGTTTTTAGTGCAAATGCTAAATGTGTGTATCTTGTATACACTCAAAATTTTTACCAAGGGCCTTTGTAGCATTTATTGTCCAAATTTGCTTTTGTTACAAAAGAGATGAATTATTCATAATAGCTTCAAATAGCGTATGCGGTTACGATTTGGGGAAGAAGTCCAACTGATTTTTCCCTCCTTTACTAATGTCTATGTATTGTATTTATGTTGCGATAGCAGTTTAAGCAATTTAGGACCCATCCACTAGCATTTTTTTGCTATTATTGTGTACAATATTGAGCCATTCTTTAATTTCGTTTCAGGAATCCTGCTAAGAAGGCAAAAATGTCCTAGAAAGAGGTGTGTGTGTGTGTTGACTGCTGGCAACTGCATGGACCTGTCCCTAGTTTTCTTGGCAAGGATTTCCTCCTTCCTAGGCGGAGAAAAAGAGACTGGCCCAAGGTCACGCAGTCAGTTTCATACCTTAAGCAGAACTAAAACTCACCACCTCCTGGTTTCTAGTGCTACTTAATCACTACAGGTAGTCCTCAAGTTACAACAGTTCATTTAGTGACCACCACCACTGAAAAAGGGGACATGGCCGTTCTTCACACTTACAACTGTTGCAGCATCCCCGTGGGTCAGGTGATCAAAATTCAGAGGCCCGGCAACTGACTCATATCTGTGACGGTTGCAGGATCCTTGGGTCACATGATCCCCTTTTGCGGCTTTCTGACAAATCAATGGGGAGGCCGGATTCCCTTACCCATGTTACTCACTTAACAACCACAGTGATTCACTTTAAGAACAGTGGCAAGAAAGGTTGCAAAATGGGGCAAAGCCCAAAACTTAACTGCATCACTTAGCAATGTAAATTTTTAGGCCCAATTGTGGTCATAAGTCGAGGACTACCTGTATTCCAGGTAGACAGGGTTGCATTAGTGCAAATGATAAAAACTGCAGCTTCATTTACCCATACAAGTCAAGTGGCCGACTACAAGAAACCGAAAGTTTGCTGCAGTGTATTTCCAGGGTATTGATTTAATAAGCTCCAACCTGCAATAACTCAAGGCACCAATCCGCTTTCCAATTAAAAATAAGATGGCACGTATTTCTTTTGTAGCATCTTACTTTATGCTCCTGTTTCTTTTTACACAGCATCGTTGAAACATCATTTTGTTTTAATATATAAAGTTAAACAAACACTATATAAATCCTGTCAGTATGGCTTCGTTTCTCTTTCTGAACACGTTTCCACCATTAAAAAAAAATTGCAAGGAGAAGAGGCCTCGGAAAAGCACACACAAGCGTTGCATTTTACAAAGGGAGCAAACAGAACAGGCAACCTGCATAGTACATTTACACACAGCAACAACAATGCAATTGTTCCCTTTCGTCCCGCTGTCCCCCCCACTCCCTCCCAAACCCAAGTGACAGACGAGGAGCTGCACTAAAGAGTCACATTCAACAGGTGCTTTTCCTTTTTTCGCACATCATTCACTTTTTTATGTCCCAGAAATTACAATACAGGAAATCAAGCTGTTAAAATAGCTCAAAGGGCAGATCAAGATCAGTTACACACAAGTTATCCTGAGACCAGAGAGAGAGAGCGACAGTTCTAAGAATCAAAAACAGAACACACCAAACTGTAGCGTCATCCCCCCCTCCCACTTACCTTACAAGAATTAAGCAAAACAAAAAGATGAAGATTAAATTTATTTCAAAGTTAGCTGGGTGAACAGTGCCTTTTTTTTTTGATAAAACCATTTATAGTGATTTCAATCTGAAAATAAGTGTTCAATGCCCTTTTTACCTTACTGTTGGGTATACTGACAGGTCCTTGGGACTGGTTGAGGTATTTCTGCATCTCCCAACCTGCAGTCATGCCTTAGTCCAAGTATAATAACGCAAAAAATACAATACTACAGGAAGAAACGAATGCATCCATTAAAAAATGTAATGATGATTGTGGGGAGGGAGACAGAATATCAAGGGAATACTTAAAAATTCCAGAAAAAGATCATGGATGAGTTCAAACAGTTCTGCTGTTAATTGAACAAAAGCTTTTAATTAAAGTAGTAACAAGACGACTGGGCATATTGTTTCAAGCAAGAGAAAAGGAATGTTTTACAGCCACACTTGAGATGCAAGCGTTTGTCAATCATGGCAACGTTGAAGATGTGTGGACTTCAACTCCCAGAATTTCCTAGGCTGGCTGGGGAATTCTGGGAGTTAAAGTCCACTCATCTTCAAGGTGCCACGGCTGAGGAACACTGGAACAAGCCGACATGGAGAACTTGAATCTTTGAAAGAAACTTAAGACCAGGCGCTCTCAAACTTATATGCAGGACAGACAACCTGTGTTACTTTTGGGGAAGATTTCTACAATCAAGAGAAATGGATCAAGGAGGGAATACAGCTTGCAGAATATATACACACTGAGAAAGCCTGAGTTATATTTAAAAAAAATCCCCCCTCCCCAATTTTCAAAGACCAATTATAATCCATTTTTGCCAGGAGGATGGAAAGCGACAGCATACTTGGTTGGGTGAGCGTACCCCATGGTTATGGATGCAGAAGCTCATCATACAGAACATTTTTGGTCTCTCTGGCGAAGATTTAAGGGTGTCCCTGGGCTGTGAATCTTAACTTCTTTCAACTACCAGTGACAATGAGGAGGGAGCCCACAATGAAACGTTTTGTTACCCAAAAGTTTATTGTTAAAATGAGGGAATCATGTGGACTAACAGATGCAAATGCAGACATCAGTGCTTTTCCCCGGGTGGCATTAAGTAAGAAAGGTGGATTATTATTTTTTCTCACAACCAAAAGTTATCTTTTAAAAAAGGTGAATCCCACCCACCCCCGTTTCCCCCCAGAACACACTATGAAAATGCTACAATCGAGACAGCAAAAGCAACAAAAAATGTTATTACTTGTCTTCATACCTACATGGAGTTTATACTGAAAATTATTATATAGAAGGAACTGGACCTCTGGCCCTTTTACACAGAAAAGGATTTTGCTCTGCAGGAGAAAAAAAAAGGCCTTTGAAACAGCTTTATAAAAAAAAAAAAAAAAACCGCATTCGCTGGACATCTCCCACTTTTGATAATAATTAAAAAGATATTATTTCTGCCTTTCTGGATCGCCGACTAAAAGAAACCGTAATATTTTGAAATACATCATAGGCCATTGTGGGATGACATTAGATTCAAAGGGACATTCTAATAAATCTGCACAAGAACACTTAAGGTCACTCAAACCTCAATTACAAGAAAAGGAACCTTAGCATAAAATTTCTCCTTTCAGTCATTACAACATTCAGCCACAATGCATCAGAAACATCTTTGTTACTCTCTCTTTTTTTCCCCAATCGGTAGAATTCAGTTACACTATACCTCACTTAAAATAGGCACCCAAACATATAACCCAAGGTAACAAGGGCAGCCACACATGAAGTGTATATAGAAAACCCTCTTCTTTTTCATACCGTTTCCAAAACTTTATTTGTTCACTCTCCTGGATGACTATAAATAAGTATTTCCACTATGGAAAAGTGAGTTTTAAGCACAGTACATTTTCATGACTGGGGAATGGATCTTTTTTTTTTTCTGGAGAATTCTTCCAAAAGGGCAAAAGCTTAGAAAAAAAAACATTAGAATACAGTTCTTTATAAAGTCCCTTGTAAAAATTAAGAAAAAAATTTAAGAAAAAAAAAGGAAAAACACAAGGCCCAAAATGATTTATTGCTTTTCTTCAGTCTTTTCCTTGCCTTCTTTCTTCTCCGATTCTTTGCACTCGTCCTTTACAGAAAGGTCTTCTAATTTCTCAGCAATTTTATCAGCGCTATCGTTTTTGTCTGTTTCTGCTAAAAAATGTCGGTGTAGACCATTAGCATTTAATAGGCATTAGCTGGAAACAAGGTTATGGAATGCAGCAGTGAAAACATTATCTCTGTAATAACTTATGAGTGAGTATGAATTGCAAGTATAGAGATATGCCGAAAACTGAACGTAACATGAGAACCTTTTGCTAAAGGTAAAAGTTCCCCTTGCACATATGTGCTAGTCGTTCCCGACCTTTTGCTACTATGGTTCAAATATAAACCTAAAAAAGAAAAGCATTTTCCAATTTGCTTTGCCTGAATATCTAAGAAGAATTAGATCTACGCAGCATTTTCACAAGTTTTAACACTTAAAAACCTGTTCAGAATTAAATGTGATGTGCCAAGACAATCGAAACAGAAATCCACAAGGAGGAAATGTTTTGTTTTATTCTGGACTGCTACTCTAGCAGACTTAAAAAGCACTGTAACTATGGTAGTCACGCGCAGAGTGAGCCTGCCGATACAGATGAAAATGGAAAGCCTATTGACCAGAACATTGTGGGGCTCAACACCTCAGAAATAATGAACATAAAAATATTGCTTTATTTATAAGGCTCCCAGTCTTGAACAATTGCCCCACTTTCCCACCATATTTGACCAGATGGAAATTATTTTTGTCCATTATAGCTAAAAGTAATTGATTTCATGGAAACAGGTAGTCCTTGAGTTATGACTATAATTCTTCCATTACTAAGCAAGGAAGTTGGAAGAGCCGAGGTGGCGCAGTGGTTAGGGTGCAGTACTGCAGGCCACTTCAGCTGACTGTTATCTGCAGTTCAGCGGTTCAAATNTATCTATCTATCTATCTATCTATCTATCTATCTATCTATCTATCTATCTATCTATCCATCCATCCATCCATCCATCCATCCACCCACCCACCCATCCACACATACACAAACATTATATACACATACACATTATATACCATACATACACACACACACACACATATATTAATCTCAGTTCATTTTGAATACATAATCTTCAGAGTTTATATGAAGACGATTGTTTCACGAGGAACATTGCAGGACTCATAAACAAATCTAAAGCGCTTTAAGATGCTGCCAAAATGGAAGTTTCAACTCAACGTTTTGCCAATCAAATATCGCAAGGCAAAATCCTTCTTTTTTCATTGCCACGCCAACTCATGGCTGCCTCTTTCGTTCTGTTTTAAGAGTCTAACTTTGAAACCCATGAGATAGGAAAGTGGGGGGGGAGGGGAAAACCCATTGGGCAGTGGGGGGGTTTCCGAAGCAGGACTAAACTTCTCCACCGTGAAAACGATGATGGCTGATAATAACGATGGGTCATGGAGAAACATTGCTGCAAGCTGATTGTGCCTCCAGATCCTGGAAAAATTCACCACCTCCCCAATTACTACCCTGGTCTCCTGAAGGATTTCCTCCACAAAATGACCAGAAATTTGTTGCAAAAGGATTGGGCAGCAGAAGACAAGGGGGGAAAATGGGAGGAGGGGAGCCTGGAAAAGGGGGAAATAAACAAAATCTCGGCCCTTTTGGGGCTCGGCGGCCTGTCGATCAGGCTGGCATAGCTTAAGCAACCAAGGTTTCATTTTGCGGCTCAGCTGCACCCAGGTTTCCCCACTTCCCAGAAGGTTGTTTACTTAAAATACACAGCTTTGAACACTCCACCCCAAAACGAAAACTGTGAAAAAATTGACTGCAATAATTCGGGATTTGTGTGTGTGTGTGTGTCTGTGTGTGTGTGTAAAGGCCAGCAAAATCATTCTCAGCGAGAAAGGATGTACGTGTGAAAGAGAACCCTTACAAAGTCAAAAAAACCTTCCCCCCCCACCCATTCCCAAATAGCCCGAGCATCCATCCCAAGAGAGAAACCTGCACTGTTTTCTCAGCCAAAAAAATCTTTAAAAAAAATCTTCCTCCCCTGGAGCAATCCGGTAGTGCTGGCAGCTCACTAGTCCCATGTCCCAGAGGGTTAGAAACCTCCATAGGTCCTTGTTTTACAGGAAGGGTGGATGGAGGGAAGAGGAAAAGAGAGAGAGAGAGAGAAAAGAACTGCAGTGGACTTACGTGAAGACGAAAAAAAGCGAAGTTGACCCCACTAATAAGGCGGCTGCAGTAGAGACAGGGATGTATTTTGTCGGTTTAAATCTTTTTCCGATACTGCTGGGCATTCTGTGGATTATACATCACTGTGCGTTAATCCAGAGTATCCGAGAGGCACTGGTGAGCCAGAGAGAGAGAGACAGACAGAGACAGAGAGAGAGAGAGAGAGAGAAAGAGAGAAGGGGAGGGAGAAAGGGCTAGGGCGTGGGGGAAGCCCCCGAGATGAAGGTCTTGCACTGCATGGAGATCAAGCAAGGGGAGGGGAAAAGGGGTAGGAAGAGGAGGAAAAAAAGAGGGGGAATCAAGACAGAAAGGGGGAGGGAGAGAAAGAGAGAAGAAAGGGGGGGAAGGGATGGATAACAGCTGACCTCTTTTGCACAGGAAACTCAACCCACAGAAGCCAGCCCACTTGGCTGATGTCAACCAACCCCTTAAGGTAGCACTGCAGAGAGAGAGAGACGAAAGAGACAGAGAGGATGGTGCTGGAAACAAGATTTAGGAAGCAGCCATCGAGAGGGGAAAAAGGAAACGCCTGAAGTTCGTCAGATGCCTCCTCAACCTCCCGGGGCTCGGGAAGGCCTTGCTCTCCTGCGGCTGAGCTGCAGGATTCCCTCCCCACACGGATTCCTTCTTCTCCTTCTCCTCCTCCAAACCAGATCCTTCAGATCCCAACGCATCTTTGCAATGCCGCCACCCGGGGAGGCGCAAGGAGAGATCCAGAAGAAGGTGGGCAGGAGAAGAAGGCGGAAAGGGTTGCCGATTTCGCCTGCTGGCCCCGCGGAGAAGTTTTTGGGTGGGCGAGGAAAGAGGTTTCCCCTGGGGGGGGGGGGAACGTGCTTTCAAAGGGGTGAGGTCCGAAGGGCCAAAGAAGGGAGTCAAAGAAGAAAAGGAAGAGGAATGTAACAACTCCACACCAGGTTCATCTTGCTCCAAAGAGGGGAGCATGGAGAACTTGAGACCTCAACATCATTGGATGCTACATTGCTTCGTGTGGAATGTTATTAACTGCTTTGGCGTGAAATTCGTGGTCTCTTTTGGATCATCTCAGCTTTTTTATACATAGTCCACAAGACTCCTTCAAAAACCCACACCCACACGTCTGTGTTTTCCATGTGCATAGGGTATTACAACACCCACAATTGTTCAGACCCATAAGGGGTGCAGAGTATAAATTTTACAAGCAGTCCTCAACTTAGGACAACAGGGGCCCAAAATTTCTGTTCCTAAGAGGTTTAATGAGTGGTGCTCCATTGTATGATCCTTTTTTCCCCTTTTCCGCAATGGTGGCTCAGTGAATCACTGCCGTTAAGTGAATCACAAGTGTGGCCTGCAAGCAGCCAGTGGAGCTGGCAGCAGGTTCGGACAGTGAGGAGGTTGGAGAGGAAGATGGACCAGTCCTGGAGTCTGGGGAAGGCTCTGATGAGGGCTCTGTGTCGAAGGCAGAGAGGGGGCCAGAGCCCTATGCCAGTTATCAGCTGCCTTCGGAGTCAGACATCAGTGGAGCAGATGAACAGCTGGAGCCTGTTCCCAGTGTCCACATGCTCAGAGTTGCCAGACAAAGGGAACAGCTAAAGAACAGGGGTCGACTTGGGAGTAAGGTCAGATGATGAATGGCCCCTCCCAGA